CCCCGGCGGGTGAAGGATAATGATTATCCTGGTGCGATGCCAAACCAGTAATTACGATAACCCGGGTCGCCGGTGATAAGCGTTCACTTACGCACTACACCACGCCTCCGCCCTACAGGCGTGAGAGATGAATCTGCTTTCATACTTCACAAACATTCGCTTATGTGGCTACGTTTCCTGGGTTCCCATGTGAATCTAGAACAAATGCAATAATAAACGGAGCGCAGTTTTAAGAGTCCCTTTCAGAAACTTCGAAAAAGGCCATAGGAGAAAAGGCCGAAACTGATTGCAGCCGTGAGCGTTGAGTGATCATGAACGTGTTTCGGGTCAGTAATTGCACAGTAGAACGTGATAAGTTTAGTTTATGTGGTGACTGTATTCGCCAAAAAATGTGATGGCAATGGCCCTTGATGTCGACCAAGCTCCCAAAATAACGGGTACCCATCAATGTAGTACCCAGTACATGCTAATGGAGTCTCACGGTCAAAACTGGCTGCCAGAATAAGACTGACTAAGAGGAGATTGTATCAAGGGTTCAAGGACAATCGGCGACTTGGGGTGATTCTCTGCCTCATGGCTTCAATTTTGTTCTTTCAAATTTTCGGCCTTCTCAGCTATCAGATAACCTAAGAGTTTGCTAGGTCTAGGACTGTACCAAAGTTCAAGGACGCCTCAGACAAAATTTAGATTTCGCTGCACTTGGCTGATGCTCTCTTTCGGCTTACCAAACTTCCTTCAGTTCCAGTGGTGAGACCAAAGGTCTGCTACAGCATTGAGGTCCTTTTCGACGGTTGCTCTTTTCCACTTTATCCGTCCTCCAGTTACGTTTATTTTGTGGGCTAAACGGAGCACTTGGAGGGAGTAATGCGACTTTCTCGAGGGTAACCTTTCTGGAAGATCGCCGATACTGGTCGATGAAGCTGAAAGGCATGCCGAGTTTTTCCTCACTAGAAGCTGACCAAAAATGTGTTAGTGCTCCCAATATACTTGGAAGCTCGTATCGACTGCCAAAAGGTAACATATGCCACAAAGGGTGGCCTCACACTATCAGCTGAGCGAATTTACTCAGTGGGAAGACTCATGTGGGATTGCATCACCAGGATGAGAAGAGATCGTACATATTTCGCCGGCTTAGGCAGTTATTTAGTTCTGAAAGCGCCCATAAATCCTATCCGCTGCTTGGCCTGTGCACGACTCGGCCGACCGAGTCGGAAGCAGGGCATCGCCGTGATGATCACAACGAGGGGGGGGGGGGGGGAGGAAGTTACAATTCGACGCGATGGGAGTGGGGGGGTCCGTATATAGTATAGGAAATATTTTTCTTCCGTAGTTGATTCCTCATGTTTCACGGATTGCTATAAAAGGGGGAGGGTCGAGGGTGTCGTATTCGGCCGTTGTTGAGAGAGGGACTGCCAAAGACTCATACAACTACTATTTCCGGTAGTTGAAATGATGGATAAGTCCTGACGACCTCCCGCTTGGCAGCAAAATTTTGAGGAAAAACTAGAAGGAAATTTCGGAAAAAGTGGTGGGAGGTTTGGGAGAATCTGAGAATTTTCCTGTTCCACAGTGGGTGTTTAGCCCTTCCCCCTCACGCTTGACGGAGAGAGATCTTGCGCGAGAAAAAACTGGAAATTTTCGCGGAAAAAAATGGTAGTAGCATGGACAGAGGGAGTCGGCATTGAAGATAGAATTAGGGGGGGTATTTTCGAGGAAATATCACAACGCGATGGCGTGCCTTGATCGGGAGATGTCAGGAGATATCGAAAGATATCGTTGGACTTGGCAACCTAACCATAGTGATCATAATGAGACAAACAGTATAGGCCATGAGCCTCTTTTTTTAAAAAGCATGAGGGCAGCCACTTCAAGGTGAGCACTGGTCGAGACGGTTTGGGACAGGCTGTTGGAATCTCAAGGCGAACGGAACAGAAACAGGCTATCCCAGACTGAAACGGCAATCTGTACTTTCAATGCACGGTAGCATCGGAAGTTCAAATCGAAGATTCGATGATGCAGGCCAATGAGATCAAGCACGACGTAGTCGGACTGACGGACGAGATGACACGATACACCGTTTACAAGATCGGAGAAGAACTGTCCCTCGAATCATGGGTAACACAGGCGTTGCCGGTGTGGGTGTCCTCGTCAACACGCTCTTGGCCGTGAACATCGATTGGTTCGAAAACCTTTTGACTGGTAGCGAAGACTGACGACTGAGAAGGCGCGGCTCATCTCCAGCTCTGACAATATTCGTTGCTGCACACCAAAATCAAGCTACGACGAGGATGAGCTCGAACTATTATTTTTTGTGAACACTTGAAAATATTCGCTTACAAGGATGGTGGTACCTTCTTCCAGTGCCATCCTCGGCAATTAACGCTTAGAATTGGAACAAGCTGAACAACTTCACGTCGGAACTTGCTGAATAGAGTGGGTTGAGCACATTGAGAAGCTGCGCCGGGTGGCGGCTGGGAGTGTTTCTGTTTCAGTGGGGGTAGAAGGGAACGGCGGAAGGGGTGCCATGCATTGCAGCAGGCGGGGGTGGAAGCTCGGACAGGTTAGAGGCAGCCCTGCTGCGCCACTGTTCGAGAGGGGACCAGAAGAGAGAGGAGCCAAGCGAGAGATCAAGAGGGAGGGCGAATGCCTTAGGCCTGGTGTGATCAAGCTGGTTTTGAGGAAGGGCGAAGCAGGAAAGGAGAAAAGAGGAAGACGCGCAGAGCGGGGAAAATTGATTGTGTACAGGCAAATGTACGCCAGGAAGAGCATCCGCCACGCATTCGTCAACTGTAAAAGCAAGATGACCTTCTACGTCAGGACAAAACAATCACTCATCCCAAAGAACATTGGAGAATGTCATCAGGACCAGAAGACAGGACCATCTAAAGAATCTTCTGCCAGCTCTCATGCTTCTTGACTTGCCTCTTCGTACATGTCGGAGTGCAATCAGGGCACATCATAGAAAACCTGCAGCACTGTTTTTCTGTACAACTCGTACTTGCACGTCAATGGCAACAATCGCACAATGTGCCTGCCTTCTGTAATCTACAAACTCATTACATACACGAGTCATCCTGAACAGGAGACGAAGGATAGCCACGCGAGCAAGCTGGGTTTCGGAAAGGATTCAGCACGATCGATCACGTCCACACGGTAACGAAGCTCGGTATATAGCGAGAGCCCAAAATGTCGTTCTGTCTCACGCTCATCGACTCAAAGAAGGCAGGAAAACTAACGTGCCCTGCTCTGTACATCAGGACTCTGAGCTCTACAGAACTTCACGGTCACGATCTTACCATTCTACAGGATTACGCTCATCAACGTGAATAGAGGTTCCGATATGGCCCCACCATTTCGCCAGGACTCTTCATTTCTACCCCGGAGACCGTCTTGCGTCAAGGGAAGACATGGGACAAGGGTCGGCGAATCACAAGCAATCACATCACCTTCACTTTGCCGATTCCACTGTGCTATTAACAGTAAATATCGAGCAAGCAGAGCGAATGCTGGCTGATTAGGACTGCATTGTAGCTGAATCTGTCGAAAACGATGTTAATGAAGAGCGGAGCCGCTTTCTGGCGCCCCATTGTATCGCCCTCTCAACAGAACGAATATCTTTGAAATATCAACGTGTACCTGGATTGGGAAATTAACATGATGAATGGCCTAGCATCAGGGTTAAGCAGACAGAAGCGTGCGGTCGCAGGAGCGCTGAAGAACGTCCAGGAACCACAGAAGGCGAAGACAAACGCCCAACTTCGCTCCGTGCCCACCTCTGGCACTCCGCGGTCCTACCCTGCTTTACCTTGCGCCTCAGAGACTTGAACACTACGAAAGCAGGATGAGCATGCAGTCAGCGTCATTTAACGCTCCATCAAAAAAAAGCGAAGTCAGGAGCTCCACGCTACAACTAATGGCAAGCAATAAAGATTTTTGCTGTAGTTGCAGTCGCTGACGATCGCAAGACTAGGTTGCCTGGTTTTGAAGCTGATCGCTGGAATAGATTAGTACTCGAGTGGATCCTACGGGATGTCAAACGAACACTTGAGCCTACGACCACGTAAGCAGTGCTCACATTTCTCCCTGAAATTTCTGAACCCGGGGGAAGAAAAAAAAAACGCAAGCGAAAAGAATCCACTGGGCCATACCACTTCATGCAGGGACAAGAGAGCATTACAGGCAGGGCCCACATCATTTGGTTGGGGCATTTTTGGCTCGCCCCCCCCCCCTTATTTATTCAGGGGGCTGGTTCCCTCCTCATTGAGCTGTCGAGCGGGGGATAGGCGACGAGGGGGTGTACAGTACACATGAAATGAAAAAATCACAAAAAGTCAGGCAATTTTCTACAGAAGGTCAGAAGTTCCCCTTCCCCCCTCCCCTCCTAACTACGAACAAACACGAGCTCACCCTTGAGAACCGTCCGTGGAATCAAGAAGACATCAGCCCTAAAAAATTTTTCTTAGCACAAGTATACGCAACCCCTCTCTCTCCCAATTAAAACGTGAACCAAATGCCGACACTTCCTCCTTCTCAACGTCGGCGATACAACTATCAAAATAACATTTTCTCAGCCCAGATACGATCCCCCCTTGTTGGAAATTCCTCAACAACGATGTGCCCTGTATTACAGGGTCTGCTCCAGAAAACTCGATGTTAAAGGGGACACCGTATGTGAGACAGGAGAGACGCTGACGAGGATCGCTCAGAAAGACAAACTTTCCTCATCGTCGTGGTGTGGCGTTCATGAAGACAATGACGGTCTCCGTTCTAGAAAATACTTGCTATCGTCTTTATGAATAATGTAAATGAAAGGGAAATGTAAACAAAACTCAACTAATTTATAAACACTAAATCTCTATATTTTATTCCTGTGTCCTAGGACTTATCGAGCAACCTGAAACAATACAATCACAGTCATCGTTTATCCCTTATGTCCCAAAAGTGTGAGATCAGTCGGTATCGTTATAAAGTGGTCAGATTTGTGGAGAGGTACTGAGAATTCACACTGGCGAATACTTGAGAGATTTCTCGTCCAACTTCCTAGCGTTGCGCAGTCGCAAAACGAAATAAGCCAACGCCACCAAACATACTCCCATCAGCGTTTTCTGAAAAAAAAACAGTGGGCAAAAGGTAAGGCAAGTAGTATATACTCAATATCCCAACGATGGAATGGGCGTAGCTGGGTACTTTACTTGAGCATGGCGCAGGATGCGTTGTTCGCGGGATATTTCGATCTGGCACAAGTGTTATCCTACCTTGTACTGGACTTAGTCACGTTTGGAACTGCTCCAAAACTGCAATATCTCTCAGAAGGGCGGTTGCCGCCACCCTCAAATGAAGTACTCAGCCACAGACTCTCCCTCCTTAGGATACGTAGAGTACAGATGAAACTGTCGTACAGCGCTAGCGCGACTTCAATGGATACCATGTTGCCAGTGGTAAGTACAACATTTGCTGTCGGAGTTGGTGACTTACTACAATACCTTCTGTAATGAGAAAAACTAGGTGATCGGAAGGTTAGGTCTGTTTTAAGGATACATTGAGTGACAACCCACAAACCCGACAGGAAAAGGGGCTGAAGAGAACAAAGTTGCTGGGCCCTCGCTCACGTATCATTTCTTAGCATTTTGAGCCCCTGCCCCTCAATTAAAATTTCCTGGCTCTTTAATTTTAGTCTTGCCTGGCTCTTTAATTTTGGTCTTGTTTTAGGACGTCTTCAGCACACTGCTACAAATCTAACAGGTGAATGACTACAATGACTCAGTGGCTTTCTACTATTGATAACTCACCAGTATCAAATTTGGTCCTAGGTAAAATTGGTTCCTGAAGAAGTTCTGCCATTTGTGAGCATCTAGAAAAATGAAAATGAAAAATTACTAATGTTATCATCTTATAATTTGATGGAATCTCTGAATAACGAATGATCCTCACCGTTCGCTGCAGCACTGGCTATCCGTTCCACGGCTTCACGACACGATTCGCTTCCGTCTACCGTGGCCGCATCGCGTAGACATTCGGAAAGCGTCTCTGCACATTCATACGGCAAATCTTCGCAGAGATTGTACTGAAGT